ACAAGCAAACAACACTTCTGAAGCCTGGAATTTCAGCTGCACTACAAATGGATCCAAGCCTGACCAAGGAACTGTTATGCTGGCTTGTCAGAAATTTTAAATATTGATATATCATACAATATATGATATAAATATTGATATATCATATATTATATGATATATCATATATATGAAATATCATATATTTAAATATATGATATTTTTGATTGAGGTCATCACTCTCAGCGGCACCAGAATTTCTCCTTCAGGAACTATCTTAGCAGGGCACTTTAGCACATGTTCAAGTATTTTGAGTCATGATCAACAGATGACAGAGTATAAATAATTTTTAAAGAGTCACCTAACTAAAGTCACCTCAGAATGTGAGATAAAAGCAAGTGCTGTGTTATATTAAACAAAACTCCTTAGAGAAAGAGCTTGGTAGTTTGGGGGTTTATAAGACAATCCAAATAGCTTCTATAACTTAAGGAATTTGTACTTAGGAGATTTTTTGCCCTCTTAGGTTACAAGACAGCCATCAGCATTCTGGAGTTTTTCAGTGTTAAAAACACAAACTAGTAGACTGAACAGTAAATGGCTTTCTTTCGTTCGGTACTAGATGATGTACATTTGGGACCACAGCTGATCTTTGCTCCATACCACAGACTGAGCTTCTCTAGGGAGAGTTCAATTTATCTGCTCTATGCTCCCCTTTGGATCATAAAACCAAACAGAAAGATTGCATGTGGTTTCACTGAACCTTACCTTTAACATACTGTTACAGAACAGCAGAGCAAGGGATGCATTTTGGCTCAAGCGTTGCTTTTTTGTTACTGGAAAGAGGCAGGACTGAAGAGTAACTACTGTTCAATTTGAAAGTAAATGCAGAACTTATTCACGGTGAAAGACATTAAATACTAGTCCCTGGAAGTGGATACCGTTGACAAAAAGCTATTTTAAAATCATAGTTGTAGTTTTTAAACTGTCAGTATTTTGAAATCTGATATCATAGTAACTGCTGATTTAGAAAGGCTAAAGTTCAGTTGTAAAAGGAACAGGAGTGTGCAGATGCAAGGCACATATGCCAAAACATCCATCTAACAAACAAAGACAAGAAAGGAGATGGCAGCCTGCTCTCCAAGGTACAATTTTTTCTAACCATTCACAAAGCAAGTTGCCCTTTAAGAAGTAGTTTTTAAAGAAAACAGCATCGCTAAACTTTGAAGGCAATTAATGTTTTCTTTCTGTTTTTAAACACGCTTGCATGAATAGCTTTAAAAATATATAAAGATTACAGTAAAATGAAATATGCTCTGTGACTGCAGCTTTGAATTTGTAAACTGAAGTCATTACAAGTTTAGCAGTATCATTCTCTTTAAAAAGTACCTTGTGAAGAGCAAATCACTTGGTTAATGGCTAGAAAAATTTAAAAAAAGAAAGCAATTCTGTAAGAGATTATTCTGCTATCCTACGTATCTTTGTACCTATTCATGCAAGTGCTTAAAAACAGCACTGAAACTTTAAAAGACTTCTATTTCACAGCTAAAAATATCTGTGGTCAGAGTTTTGAGGACACAGCTTCAGACAACTAAATACCATCATCTGGCCTATCTCCTCTGTCCAACTCTGTCAACATATTTACTCAGAAGTTATCTACACATGGAAGATTACATCTGCGGTTCACCACACCCCAAAAATTGAGAGTTAGTCTTCAAAAACCGTCCAATGATCAATAACCAGTCGGAGTCACACTGCTAAAAAGTTCCGTACCATTAAGGAAAACAAGGAACACGTTTGGATATGAAAGTTCTTCACCACAGAGCAAGTTGACATCTTCAACTCCAAGATTACTGGCTAATTTAATAATCGGGCCATCTTCCATATCTGTAGTAATATGAGTCATGAGGGCAAGGTTTTTAACCAAACCACAAGCCTAAAATAAAAGTGAAAAATAAAAAGATCCATCAGCTATTCCAAAGAAAAAGTACTAATACTATAAACATCTTTTTCTTCCAAATTCTGTACTTATGAGGAACATTAAAAAGTCAAAGCCTAAGTGAAAGAAATGAGACAGATTAGCTGTATTAAAATTAGGAATAAAGAAAGGAAGTAATGTTCTAAACCACATTGAAATGCAATCTTTTAGCATTTAAAAACTAGTAAAGAACATAGATGATGAAGCTGTAGTTCTTAAATGATCCAAATGGTTATAACCCATATTTCTCTCTTCAGTATAATAGTTACTTAGAAACAGAATACTGCATAATTTAGATAGAAAAATCAAGGAAATTAATTCAACAGCATGAGAAAATTTGGACATTTGCAATACATAATCTTAGCTTACAAGTCTCCAAGATAAAACATGGCTAAAAATATTAATTATCCATAAACTGTAAGATAAAAGTGATGCTATTAAAATATAAGCTATTAGAGTTGATTGTTATGACTCAAGATAGCAAAAATTCTTATATTAACCTAATTTTAACTCTGAACTTTTTGTTCATTGACTTTTAAATGAAAATAAGATCAGTCTATTTGCCCCATTTGGGCAGATATTCCGTATGTTCTAAAATGAACATTTTTAAAACGCAAAAATATCCAAGAATCTTCTACAATGCAACTTTATTTCAGCTGTTTGATAAGACTAGCTCATCTTGATTACACGTTGATGCCAGAAAGTTTAGAGCTCCCACAAGGCTTTCCTCCTGGAAAAAACGATCGTCAGGATCAATCATTTGGTTGAAATAGTGGCATGATCTGCTTAAAAGGAAATATTTAAAGGTATTTTTTCCCCTTGAGCTACAGTAGTTTCAGTAATATTAATATATGTTTCCAGAAAAATCTACGGTCAGACTGACACTGCAATTTCAAAACAGCACATTTACTACAAAAAAAAAAATGGGGAGGAGAGTTTAAGACTCATCTCTTTCAGTCCTAATCAAAAGAGAGCAAGTAGCTCTTCTGCAAAAATGGGAGGCCACATATCGTTCTCAGCCACTCTGCTCAGGTAGGAGAAAAAAGGTAATACGGTAAGGAGGGCTAGAATGTAATTAGATGTCTCATGAGAAGACAAATGAGTTGTGAGATCAGGCTGAGGGTAATTCATCTCTCCAGAAACCTCCTCTACAAAATTCTTCCTCTGATGGAAGATCATCTGCTTCAACGTAACCTGCGTCTTCATCCTTTTGGAGGAAGGGAAATATTGACAGCAAGATACAAGTTCTTTACCTCTCCTTCAGGAGTGTCAGATGGACAGAGCATCCCCCACTGAGATGGCTGTAGAGATCGAGGACCACTCACTTTTCTTGTCTTTTCAAATTGAGAAGAGATTCTAGTCATCATTCCCAGAGCAGATATATAAGATAAGCGGGACAATACTTGCGTCACACCTTGGCGGTCCATTTTGAATCTTTTCAGAGACCAATTTCCCTGTAAAATAAAATGAGTATCTCAGAAAAGTTAACACAGTATATCCTTGTCTGGACACTACATATCTTTTGCGGGTATTTTAGACTGCATGATATTTGAGGAGCTTGGTAAAACAAATGTTGCCCATTTATATAAAACAGCTTTCTAATTACTCACCTGCTAGTGATTAGATACTCGTATAGAATATTTTTTTTTAAGTTGAAATAAAGGAATTGCTATCCCAGCTCAGAAGAGACTTTTGCTGTAATACATTTAACCACACAAAGATTCTTTATCATCTGTCCCTTACAAGTAATTCGATACTCAACTTTATCTAAACAAAATTCTCTTCTGTTCTCCCTCTGCAGACATTTCTTTTTCTTCAGAAGTTCCTCCCCTCAGAAGCTGGGCTAACGTCCTTATTGAGGTCTTTCGAGTGGAATACACTTGTTACAATACAATCCATAAACTGTTTCAGTTCTACTTTGTTCATGATTTGTTATTTTGGTAGAAAATATAGGTGTTTCTACTGGAGGAACTGGACAACAAAGTTGTCTGTACTTTCTTGAAGTCCTTTGGTTTAAGAATCCAGAGGAAAATGACTCACTGATGTGTCTTGTCAGAGAAGTGTGGGGTTTTTTTGTATCTAACCAGCTTCTCTGGTAGGATTACACCAACTATGAAATGCAAGATCTATGCATACGTCAGAGGTTTCATGTTTCAGGCCTGTCAATGCCAATATTGATTGTGGTTTTCATTAGGAGAACAGAGAAATCAGAGAATGTTCTAAGACAGAGTTATGTTTCCATGATAAGCAGATGTAATTATCTCTACCCGCAGCTAGGTTTTTAACCACAATCTAACTTAGCATTTCTGCAGGACCTTGAATTTTGGTGCTACACTTCTTGACTTGATGACATCTACTTCATATATGATTCCCAGTACCTTAGTCATTGGATACAGCAAGTTTCTGTCCCATTTCCTATTTGCCCCCAGTTACCATGTTATTGATCAGTCTGAAGGCAATGAAAATCTCAGCGTAGCATTTTCCCCAAGATCACCTTCTGCTGATTCCTGTAACATTTTTGATAAACTCAGCCCACCACCACTAACAAAGAATTAGGAGCCTGCTTGCTGTATTGCACTGAAGTCATTTAGGGGGTAATCTGCTTGGCTTCTGTAATTATACATTAATAGTACAATCCCATTTTATGATGAACAGCAAGAAACCACTAACCACCCCAATGATTTCACTAATTTGCTTATATATTCCTGACTTAATTTAAGAGTCAGTGGAAGTTCCTTTCTCTCCGTGTTACGGAAAGAGGGAAAGCATAATGCCCAACAGTAAGGAAATCAAAAGAAGAAACCTGTCCACTTGCTCACCCTTCTCAGGAAGGCCTCACTCACTGACTTTCATTCTTAAAGGGCAGGGAGTTATCAGAATATGAAAGGAAGAATACGGTAAATTCATGAGTAGTTTTTCCTCACACGACAAATGATTACATCTGTAGCATATACTAGTATGCGGTTTCTTCTGCACTGCTCAGAAGATTGTGAAACCTCAAAGACTGGAAGAAAGAGGAAAGAGGAGGTAAAAACGCCACTTGCAGAAGTAACGTGAACAATTCTGTCCACTTTGGAAGCAACAGACTGATTCCTTCAAGGCTGTCTAAAAAGACGAAGCGGGGCCAGGGCTGCTGCAAGACAATCCCCGACAGAGAACTTCCTACTGAAAACTTCTACAAAGTGAAAGGTTGCACCCTCAGAGGCATCGCAAGATTCTGCAGGCACTGCAATGTCTATTAGGCCTGAAACGTTACTGCCTGACCTGCTCTGGTTTTCCAGGGTAAAAAGAAGGCCTATAGTCAATGCCATTGAACACCACTGCACAGTTGTGTAGTGGTGCTATGATCTCTTCTGCATGCTACTGGTGTAATTATGAATCTGCTGAGCTATTTCATGCTCTTTGAGGCTATCACCGAAGCATTCTGGTGAGATTGGAGATTGTTGTTTCCAAGAACGATTTTTATGGTATTTGCTTAATCTCTTGAATAGTATGCACTGGGCATTGTTCCTGAGAAATTATTTTCAATGCTTAAGAGCAGATGGTGTTTAACTGCTTATGCGGCAGTAAAAAGAAAACGTCCTAAGATAGTGGAAGAAGGAAGACTTTACAATACGTACTGAATAGTTTGCAGATTTATCTCTGTCAGTCCAAATGGAAAAACTGGCATCAGCTAGAAGAAAGCACTAGCATTTAGAGAAACAAATCTGTCAATTGTTTTGGTTATGTGCACTGTAGAGATTTAACTACATTTGGGGCACTCATAAAATTAAACAGTGATAAGCTTTAACATTGGGATTTGTAAGTAACAGACCATTGGTGGTTTTGGATGCAATCTGTGGAGTTAATTTTGTTTACAAGAACTGAAGAAAAATCTCAGTCTCATGCTGGCAAAAAAGCCCTCTCAAGAGTTCCAAAGATTAAAAACTGAGTTGCACAATTTTTACTAGCTACTAAAATACTTAAACTAATCTAATTTCTTAAAAAATCACAGATGTCAAAGTGGTTTCCAAGCTTGTAGTTAGATTTCAGGAACCATTGCACAATTTGGTGTTGCAGACATGTAAGATAAGAGACAAAGTTAGTAATTTTATTTTTTGTTCTTGTCCGCTGGCACGAATGAAAATATCCTTTCTAGTAAAGGGTAGACACAGGGTAAAAACTAACCAAAATAATTATTTTTAGGCTTACTTACTGCAAAATTTTGGCAATAATGAGGCATTTAGCAGCTCTCCCTATGTTAAGTCAGTCAGTATCAGGTTTTAACATAGCAGGTACTACTACTTATGCTGCAAATTTGCTCTTACTACTCTTACTCTTACTTTATACATATAAAATTGCAGCCCTCTTAAAAGGGCTCAAAATTCAGCTTTTTTTTTTTTTTGGAAATTGTTTTCCATTCGTGATGTGTTACTGCTGTTTTTCATCCACCTTTTGGACATACGTTGCAGCTTGACCCTGGATAAATCCAGATAATAATAATAATAACAAAAAGAATTATATAAGAAAGCAGAACCTGGAAGACAGCAAGTTGGATAAATATAAACATGATAATATTTTAAATGTGCTTGTTTTACCATTTCTTCACAAACAATTCAAACACCACTTTGAAACAAACGGTAAAATAAAAAGTGGTTTGATGATTAATGATCCTTCAGTGAACTCCAAAAGCCTTGCCAATTACAAAGTTCTGTAATTATGATCTGCAAAGAGTATTAAATAGATTTGCTTCTGTGACCAAAGATAGTGGAGCCATCAAAACAAAATTCATACTTTTCTGTCAATCAACACGCTGGAAAAAAATCTACATACTAGAACAAGACAAAAGTACATACTGTGGAAATGGCATTGACCATGCCATTGGTGATCTGGTCTTGACGCATATGCTTCACTACATCAAACTGAGCTGCTCGTTGCTTGGGGATTACCTGGTCAGCTATCTTTTTCAGTTCAGAGTTAAATTTTTTGAACAAATCTTCAAACAGAAGAGAAAGAAGCTGGAAATACAAAACAAATGAATTAAAGGAAAAACAATACTCGAGGTCTGGGAAATGCAGGGAAAAAAAACAGATATCTTATATTTGAAACTTTATACTTGTGATCAGTTGAAAAAAAATCCTCTTCGTTTCTTACCTGGTATATTTCTCACCAGGTTTTTGCTTTGTTAAAACAAAGTGTAATATAATAGAAATTATATCATAATAGAAAGCATATTAAAAAGAAGAATGCTCTAAGCCTACCCATTCATCCCTTTTCGGTTTACTTTGATTGTCCCTCCACGATACCTTAACACACCCATCCACCCCTATACTACCATTTATTAGTTGTTTTCCCCAGTCTTACATTTATCCAGCTGATCAGCCTCTTCCTTCCTGAAGTCACAACTTCCTGAAGATAAAACCCCTTAAACACACAGCCTTGAATTACACACATGATTTGGAGGCAAGAATAGCTTCTGTTCTGCTCTTGGATGGAATAATCCCAGTAAAGCAACAAGAGTCCCTTTGAGAGATTTCATTAGTAAAAGAGAAAAAGGCTGTTCAGAGTGCCCCCTCCCAGAGGCTTTGTAAAACAGACAAGAAAGCCACCTGTAAGAGGCTGTTAGGGGAAGTAGTTCAGCAGCACAGGATTTAGATACAGTGCACAGTTTGCAAGACCAGACTGAAGCACACAAGGTGAGCAGATACCACAACTTCTGCACAAGCAGAACTAAGAGAGACTTTTTTTTGGCTCAGCATCCACCTCTGCTCTTGGCAGCTGACAGTACGGATCTCAGGTTATGTAGTCTGCTGCCTCATTCAGATAAACTTTTATCCAACTGCTTTCTGCAGGTCACATAATCTGTGGAAAAACAATCATACACCCATGGAGAGTCCTATACAGAGAAAGTTCTATACATACCATCCTCTTCTAGAAGTGCTATCTGCGAATTGCAGTGCCCTCCCACATCTCTCCCTAAAACAAGGGGCCTACAGAAGGGCCTTAAACAAAGCAGCTACTTAATACAGGTGAACTGGAAAAAACAGCAATGCAATTCTTCAAAAGCGTTATAATTTAAGCCAATTATTTCCTGCATATGTATATTACTATACATACTAATTACTTCTAGTTCTTAAAATATCCATAAAAGGAAAAAGCTACCAAAATCCGTGATCTTTTATTTGCTAATTTGCTTTTGCTTTTACAACTTGCCCAGCCTCTCCCTGCAGTCACTAACAGTTTCTCAGAATACTTAAAAGGTATCATGTAATGCAAATTTAAGCGTTCACAACAATTAGTTTTGCAAGCGAGCAGTGTAAATTCTAAAGCTTGGCAAACCTGTCCTGGGACTCTATTTTACAGCAGCTCCAAATGTCACAAGGACTAAAAATGCAGCAGCTACCAAATGGCAAAAATGGCAGTTGCCAGTGTACAAAGCACCGTAGGGCTGAACAAGCTAGGTATTCAGCCACCACAAGCTAAGACATTCTGGAGTCAGTTGCACAATTTAACTTCTATAGTGCAGCACTCAACTGAGCTATAACTGCTTACATCAGACATAGTCCCAACATCTCCTCTCCTTCTGGAAACAGGAGAGCAAACCATTCATGCCTGTATCAACAGGATAGGCCACTAGCTTTCATTTACTTTACTCCACCTACATGCCCAGCTGGGCTGACCAAAGCATTTGGCAAATGACACTGTAAATCAGCTACCTAAACTGTAAGCTGCCCTTTTCACTAGCTTCACAAATGTATTTTAGGAATACTAAGAGCACCTTAACACTCAAGGCAGATATCTGAGTTGCTACAAAACACTCCTGGCGGTTTCATGGAGAGCAGAACAGAATTATCTTCAACAGTCTACTCTACAAGACATAAGGAACACTTAGTGTTGGTCACTTAACTATAAAACACCATGCACATCGGTGATAACAAATACTGTATGTTAACTCTAGACCAAAATGTAGGTGGCTGAGAGTTCAATTTAAGTTAGGATTGAAAGTTTTAAAAAAAATCTCAAGCCAAGAACATAAGTTAGGGTTCTATACCCCTACGAGTAAATGATGGAGTGACTGCTGAGTATTTGATACGTATGTTAAAACTTATTTAATCCTTCCCTGGAAGAGCAAATCTTTCAGGGCGTTCATAAGGTCTTTCTTCCATCTGACTCATCATGTATGTGAGCACATACTCCAAGAAGTACTTTTTGAGCATAACAACTTAAAAAAAATCTCTTATTTCTCATCTTTGAGGATGTGCAAGTATTCCTCAACTCAAAAGAATCCCTTGATGATACTGTCTAGTAGTGTCACAAGGGCTACCTCATCCTCAGCCCAAGAAAACAGAGATCTCTCTCAAGCTATTAATCACGGATCTGTTCAGAAACAGATCCTTTGCTGAAAACTGATTTTTTTCTTTTTTTTAAACCCAGCCTTGGCACGAGAGAAAGGTATTGCAGATCCTCTCCCCTTTCTTATCTTTGTAATATCATTCACATTTACAAGATGATACCCTCTCACCACTGTCAAAAGAAATCCAGTCACGTCCAACTTATCTGAGATGTTGCAGGTCATCTGAACTAGGCTTCCCTCAGAAGTAAAAGCATCTTTATATGATGAAGTTTTGACAGTAACTAACCCAGTTGGCTGAAATTCCATGGATTCAGTATTTCATACACATTAAACTCTTCTCTGGAAGTTCTGACAAACCAGATTTCCCATGTATCTATAATTAAACATGTCTACAGTCTACTCAGTTACAAGTTTGGTTAGGATTTGGTTGTTTCTGATGTTTAAATGCTGCCTTGCTTTACGAAATTTGCTTGACTCCTGATTATTGAGTGCGCCGCTTAAAGGCAAGAGATTTGGAGGTGCTGACCACAAATTGGACCTACTGATGAGGTCACAGTAACTGTCAAGAATTAAAGCCCATATCTGATCAAAAGGGGAGGCACTAAACCTTCTACACAAGAGGATCCTTGTGTGATCTCCTCAGAGGCTGGTAAGGAATGAGTGTGTAGTTACCACACTATTCAGAAGAAAGAAACACACACACGTCCTTTATCGATATGGAAGAATGGAGGATGAAGATGATAAAAAGACTGAACTTTCCAAAATAAATAAATAAATAAATATATATATATATACACAGCTACAACTATTCTACAGAGAGATACCTATGTTTACAAACCTAATTCCCTACAATTACAAACCTAAAAAATTAGGCTACTATCTAAAGCTGAACACGCTGTCAATGTTATTTAGCATTCAAAATTCCATAGTACGTCACTGAAGCTGAGCACTTTGGAATCTGAGACTGAACACAAAAAAGAGTTAACTTTTTTTATTGCAGTAATATGCTATGTTATTAAAACAATGCAGTGATGCATCTTTATTTGCACTTGTTTGATGTGCACTTTGCTTAAAAGTGACAATCTTCTTTATAACAAACCCTTTTCATGATACTTCCAGATATATATATATATATTTTTTAATGTAATCCTCTCCAACAGTCCTTCTGGAAGTATCCAGCTTAACTGCTGCCTTGTGGTGAATCCACACAAATTAGTATTGAGACATTTTAGTATTCATAGATCCAAATTAGTGTTAAATTCAGCTTAACAACCTGCCCCTCCCAGCCAGTACCATCCCTATGTGACACCTGGAAATATTTTATTCAGTTAAAGTAACGTGAAGAAAAAAAAAGGTTATGGCAGTCAACGCTAATTTTCTTAAAAGATCAATTATTAATCCACATAAGCTCATTCAACTGATCTATTTATAAATTTTCAAGCCTGAGCCTATTCTTAAGAAGTAAATGCTGTCATTCTGGAAAGACATACTTTATTCCCACCTTGTCCCTCATACGTAACAAAGGACAGCTTAACTGCAAAATTCTAGCTTAACTAGGGAGAAACAATCCATTCTTCTACAAAAACTTTTTAGCGTCCATCATTTCATCATTTTTCCAAAGTCAGGCAGATATTAGGAAAGAGAACTCACTCAAGTCTCCAAAAACTAGATTGAGGTACGTATTTCAAACAAGAAGAGAAAAAGTAAAAGGAGGAAGGGATGTTCACAGCTTTTAGATGTCTGGTAATCTTGTTACATGTAAGAGCTGGACGCTGTTGAAATCATTGTACACATTTGATCTCAACAGGTTTCTGAGTAAGACTGAAATGAACATCTAACAAAAATATTGTCCTGCATGATTTTTTTTAATATCTGATTTCTTGACAGTAAAAGTGCAAAAATCTTCTAATTCCACACGCTGTAGTGAATACGGCACCATGCCATATTTCCTTTTCTCTGAACTAATAAAATAACTTACATGCCAAGCACACCAACCAACTTGCTAATATTCGCCAGGCTGAAAAGCGTCATACTTTGCTAATTTCCCTCACAGACTCTCTGTCTGTAAGAGCTCTGACTATCTGCAAGGCAGAGTCTCACAATAACCACATCATTTAGGTCAAGAGTAAGTGATTAAAGAAAAGGGGTGGAACGCCAGTGATAATATTCAACGGATTTCAGAGTTAGTCCAGGGCCTTTCAGCCTGCTTAAGACAGGAGCACTGAAGAGCAAATTATATTTAAGAAAAAAAAAAATTACTGACAGCACATCAATTGATTTTCATTGAAAATCCTAAGAAAAATTAATAAAGAAGTTAAGCTGCTGAAATACAGTTTCACCAATTAGCTTAATGTCAGAGAATTCTAATTAGGAGCCTTGAGATTGCTATTTAGCGTTTAAGCCTTTAGAGTGCCAAATTCTCCCTTTCACACAAACTGGTTGCAAAATTAAAGACATTAGGCAGCCTTAATTATATTATCAGAACAGCTGGGATTAGGCAATCTCTGAAGTCAAGGCAGTATTCTTTTGTCACAGGGTAGAAATCCCTTGCTTTCCAGGGTGCCGGATTTTGGTGCTGTTCCATATCTCACCCATACAAAGCAAGCTGCATTAGAAACAAAAAAAAAAAAAAAAAAAAACCGAGGACAAAGAACAGAGTAATGCTCGGCAAATAATGAACACATTAAGGAAAGAGAAAAGGTAGGTGAAAAGATTAAGCCTGAAATCGGTAGGTTTTGCTAACACCTCAGCTGGCACCTGGCCTGCCAAGCCTCTAGTGGCAGAAAGACTAAGAGAAAGCTCTGTAAACCAGCTTGGCTAGTGGATACAACTCTGTTATCTAAAGCTAAAGCACATTTCTTACGCTCTTGTCCCATGGGGTGTGAAATTAGCAGCTATTGTTTTCACACATTTTTATAAACACAATGCCTTTTATGTCTTTACATTGTTTAGACCTCTATGTTTTTCTCCTCACATGGGAATCTTCTTTTTTTTCTTTATTCAAATTTTAAAGCAACAGGATTTTAATTCCAGGAACACACCGGCTTTAAAAAAAATAAAAATCACTGGCCATTTCATTTACACAAACTTCAGTTAAACATAAACATTTAGAAACTGACAAAATAAAATCTCTTTATACTTTTTAGTCTGTAATCCAGTCAAATTAGTATTATACTGATAACATGTGGGAATGAGGAATTCAAGTGTTCAGCTTGAAATAAACATTTAAAATATGACAAGGGAACCAGAACTACTCTTAATCAAGTGTTACAAACTCTCCCTGCATAGTTCTCCTTGAGGTAGAAAAAATATGCGTTGCCTTTGTTATGATGATCCTCTACATTTAAAACCTTTCCCAGTTAATTTAAAACGTCTTTAGTTGTTAACACCTATATGAGTAGAGGCCTTTTTCTTACAGCTTGTAGAGAAGTAATATTTTACCTGCTGCATTTTCTGCATCTAAAATACCAGAAAAAAAACCACTACTCTTCAATCTATTTAAATAAAAATAATATGATGACAGAGCAACAACTATTTATACTGATTAGTCATACTGAACTATAGCAACAACACAACAGAAACCAAATAAATCCATCAAAGCTTAAAACATTTGCCAATTAAAATACTTCTTACTCTTCCTTACACTATAAAAACAAGTTCTGCTTCGGTACAAGAGTAAAGAGTTTGATGAACAGTCATTTACTAATTTGAAGAAGGAGGTTGTTTTCCATTCTGGTTACAGAATCACAGAACGGTTGAGGTTGGACGGGACCTCTGGAGATCATCTAGTCCAACCCCCCTGCTCAAGCAGGGTCACCTAGAGCATATTTCCCAGGATCACATCCAGACGGGTTTTGAATATCTCCAGCGAAGGAGACTCCACCACCTCTCTGGGCAACCCGTTCCAATGCTCTGTCACCCTCACAGTGAAGAAGTTTTTTCTCAGGTTTAGATGGAACTGCCTGTGGTTCAGTTTCTGCCCTTGTCCTGTTGCTGGGCACCACGGAGAAGAGTTAAGAGTTTCTGTTGTTTTATTTGTGCTCATAATTCCAAAGGGTCATCTTAGTTTTTCAGACAACTAAGAAAAACAGCATGTGTTTTGCTCTGATTGTGCTGGAGGGGCGCCTGTATGTGTTCACATGTGTGCAGGCAGGCATGCGTGTATTAAGGGCCGGGGCGGGAGGAAAATAGGGCAAGAGGCAATATATAAGGACCCATCTTTAAAAGTACAGAATGTGAGAATTCACATTGGACAGGAATAAGAAGCAACGGATACTGCTATTTGTGCCACAATAGAAATCCGTAGGCCATGGATGCGAGGGCCAGGGATGCAGTTTCTCCAACCTGCTACATATGCTAGTCTTAAGCTTCTGATGCATGATCAATAGGCAGAGAAGATGCCGAGTGCCAAAACCCCAACTTAAAATATTACAGAGCAGAGCAATGAAGTCCAATCTTCTTATAAACCAATTAATCAAATAATTATACACGGTAAAGAAACATCCATGTTCTGGGAACTAGGTAGTTCCTTCACATGACAGGCAAGCCCTCACTACATTAAAACAGAGTAGTTTGGACAGCAGCTGTAAACTGCCATACTCTCTGCAAACTAATAGTGCCAGCCAGACACCTCAAACCATCCTCTCCTTCCGAGTCCTTTGCTACTGCTTCTACCTACACCGCCAAAATGCAAGTGCAAGCGAAGTCATTCCTGCAATCCACTTTCATTAGTCAGCCAAGCTAACTTACCTATTTTTTAAAGATTCAAATAAACCCCTCAAGTTTTGCCTGAAGTAAACTGAAGATTTCTCCCAGTCATTCTTCTGGCAGAACTAGAGGGGTATAACATCCATCTGATGGACAAACAGAAGCAGTGGAGGATTTTACTGTCTTCAGCAGACACAACTGCACCCAGAAGAGACATATGGCAACAGTCTCGGGAAACCAAATGCAACTGCTTGTGCTGCTTCTCCTGGAGGCTCAGCACAGAGCTTGTAGCTCAAAGGGAAGGGTCTAATGAAGACTTTAAACCAGTTTCTCTCCCGATTCATGCTACTCTATAGGCTGGAAAGGCAGCTGAATATAGACAGTAATCTTACAGGCTTTTCTAAATTACAGCAGACTCAAGTGCCTGCTTTGCGAATTGCTATGCAAGTTGGATTCTCCATAGTGGCCGTATCCAAGAGGCACCTACTGGGCTTCAACTCCTTCCCTCCTCCTGTCGCTTACTGAGGGACATTGAAAGATGGATCTTATAGCTGCTTTGTTAACACTAACACCGTTATAATGGGACAAGAACTGACACCATATTTACACTGCTCTGTCCCTTCACCTGGCATAAAAGTGAGGATACCTGCTGCACAGAAGGGAGGATACAATTCATTCACCCCAGTCAGGGGAAGCATATCTATGAATCAACACAGAAAAGCCAAAGACAACAAAATGAGAGGGAAAACGCTCCAGTCACAAAGACAGCGATGCTCCTTATTCTTTCATCTTTTAAAAGTAGATACTAGCAAAATCTCAAAAGCTCCAAAGTAGAAACCCACCTGCCCAGCCAACTCCAAACGTTTATTTCCGTAGTAATCTCTGTCATCCACTTTATTTTCTCCTTGGGCCAGAATTACTCTGCGCACCATTACTGCTGTGTAAATGCATTTGGCACGAAAATTGAATTCCTTCACCTGTAAGCCAAAAAAAGACAAGACAATTAGTTTCAGGAGCAATTCCCCAGTTCTTACTCTGGCAAAGACACCCACTTAAAGGGGAATCTGGGCTGACTGAAGAGTTAAGAAGGGCATTTTACCTTCTTAAAAAAAAAAAAAAAACCCCTAAAAGTAACATACATTTGTGAAATTGAAACAGAAGGTAAACAGAACAAACCAGAATAAAGGTATAGGTCATGAGGGCAAGGTCTTGACAACAGCTAATATTATTGCCTGACTATGTAGAAAAAACACATAGGATGATAAACAGTTCAATGGTGCAGCATTTCATAAACATTCAGATTTCTTTTGACCTAATCCAAATTTTCCTCTTTTGTACGAGGACGATGCTGTGATTCTGTGATTCTCTTATCTCAGCTACAAAGCAATTAAAGTTATATTCCCCTGCCAACCAAGCTTACACCATAAAGGTTGGGTTGATTTTGCCATACAGAACAGTCTCTCTCCACACAGGCTACAAATACCTGCATGATCCTGTGATAGGGACCATCTTTTTCCTGCTCATTTCCCCACTGTTGCATACTTTTACCAATTAACATTTGTAACTGCCTTATCACTTCATATTTTGACCAAATTTGTACTTTTCCTCCTTGTAGGTTAGAAAGGAAACCACACTTTGCAGAAGTCTACCTGTCTTTTTCCCAACACTCAGCCAGGATAAAGCTTAAGTTCTTGCACTGTAGGAACCCTTTTCGGTGAGGAAGATCAGAAACAGTTTCATTCATAACTTATCACTACTGCATCCTGATCAACTCCTATAAGGTCATCAGCTCCTCTTCTGTTTTCAGAAGGATCAATGCCATACACAACTGATGCAAAGTCTGGTCATTTTTTAAAAGACTGTAAGAAAGAATACCTTCAAATTTGCATTACATAGAAGTATTTTCATTGTGAATGTTTTGCAGATTTAGTTTCTATCTGACCCTAGCTGGCACCAAAGCTGCCCAGAAGAATTACAGGTGTGAGTACTCCTATACCACCATGTTCTAATGTAGGCAAGAGGGTGACAGTGGACAAATACAGACTAAATGGAATGTTAAAGCCAGTGGGCTTTAAAACATCTTAAGCCTCATGAGCATTTCACTATTCATATTTTCTCTCCTCTACTGTAAAATTTTATTAGAACTCTGTTGAGCTCTAACAACAACAGGGTCAACAGCTTTTTTTTTTTGTATGGAAAGATTTCAGACGCTGTAGTACTTACAGACTTTGACAGGACCTCGAATAGTAGAGATACTACCTCGCCTCACAAAATAAGCCTGCAAATTTACTCCAGTTAAAAAAAACATTACGTACAAGAACATGGGTCAGAATAGTTGATGCTAGCAGCTCTCGAGCTTCTTCCATCTTTGTTTTCTTTGGGCCTCCCCACATCCTCTGCCTTCGTACCTTGTTTCCAATGTACTTCAATGCCTGTCAAGTGGGTTGATTAGTTTGAGTTAATATCAGAATTGTTACCTATACAAATATGCACACATTAAGGAGAGTTGTATGGATTCTTCAATAAACGCACTCTCAGTAGCCACAGATGATACAAACTCCAGACAACGTGAAAAATACTTAATATGTAAGTGATGATGATAAAAAAAAATTGAATAAAAAACTCTTGGACAACTGACACAACTGATGCATGTTGCGTAGCAGATGTTGATAACATTTGGAATAGGAAGTGGTGAAAGAGCATGATTACTACAATACTAAAAGAATGGGGATTGCAGAGGTACAAGAGAAAAGACTATAAATTGCAAAGACATCTAGTTTCTTCCATTTAACTTTTCACCTCCAATTCTTTTGTACACTTGCTGAGTTTTATGCAGCTATAATGAAACAACATAAGTGTATACTAGGCAAAAATGCTACCATGTGGTAGCCACATCTATGAGCACCTTGCAATCACTAACAGATTCTTACTCGCTCTTCCTCACTTTTCTGAGGAAGGGAATGAATCTGCTGAATACAGGGTCAGGTTAGTTAAAGAAGTGATCCAGGTCCACACAGGAAGTTCATATCTGGAACTAAAACCAGGCCCCCTATGCCAGAGAATTAGCCTCTCCAGCAGACAACAGATTCACCTTTCCATCTACGCATCTTCGTCCCAAATAGCTAACTCTCTTTTCATTTCATTTGGCACTTCTTGCACAGAGTAATTTCCATATTTCTGTTTTCCTACTTTCCTGGATGTCTCATACTTTTGTACATTCCTCCAGTTTCACCACTTCACTCTTTCGACCCCTAATTGAGAAGGCCTTCAAAGGCTACTCCGAAGAAGGCTACTTCAAACCCTGACAAGCCCCAAAAGATACAAACTAGAAAGAAGCCCACTTTACTACAGTCAAGATTACATGTGGAAAGACTTGACAGTGTTTACAATAGCAGGAACAAGACTAATCTTCAAAAGCTCTTCCAGTAGATTAATATGTACGTGATAGAAATGCTACCAGCAAAATGGCCTGAGTTCCGGCTAATTAAAAAAGTACACATGAGCTGAATAGAATTCTGGACAGTCTTCAGCAGCAGGGACAGTGGCTGTTACTGCGCACTTTATACAAGAGATCAGAATTAGAGTAGAACGTCTACTCATGATGAAATGGTCATGCCCCTGTCAAGGGGGCTTCTGTGGAATGTGGCATGCAATTCCTTTTTAAAAGAGGTGAATTGCCCCCAACAAAAACCCCTAGTCTTATGGACATCGCTACTTGTCACATACGTTAAAATATTCCTCTTGGCTTATCAGAACAAAGCGTTTCTTGACTTTCTCTTTCCAGTTTGACAACTGGAGCAAAGCATCGCTTCTGAAAAGTCCTGCTCCCGCTAAAAACCCCCAGCTTAAAATAACCCAAAAAACCAAACCTTAAAACACAAAGTTGCTGTGTCAGCAGTCCACGAACAAGTGGTCAATACCTATCCTCTTTAGATGTTATGGCCACTGGCCATGGGAAAAGACACACCTGCATCTGTGTAAAAATCTGAGCTTTTTGACATTCTTCCAGACTAGGAGCAAACGCAGCCATGACATGTTCCTCTGTGCCAATCATCTGTACAATCTCTTGGTCACTCTCAACACCCATGGCCTAGGAAAAGAAGAAAAGACAGAAATAGCACAGGCTTTATGTTAACTCACTGACATTTGCTTATGCTAATTTGGCATTGTTTGTCAGCATTACTACTAAGCAAGAGCTAGTTCTTCTCTCAGAAACCGTGCCATCTGGCACTGGCAGCACATATTCTAGCTACGGAGGAACCCAAAATGGAAATTTTGATAAGCAGCAGGAATACACACACACTCTTTGGAAAATGTCTTTTTCTTCACTGACAGGAGCTAAACGCTATGCTTTCTCTTATGAAAAATAAATACCAGGTAATAGTAAACTTTTATGTATAACAATGAAAACCAATTCAGAACCTACAATAAATAAAGGAAGACGAAATTACTTAGAAGATTACACATGGCCTCTTACCACAAGCAGTTTTGTGAACTCAATTGTCTGTGTTACAGCACGTCCTATTTGAGAAATTTTTACAGCCTGCCTCCTTTGCAGCTCTTTGCGTTCAGAAGATGACTTCACTACACAATTCCACTTGAAAGCCATTCTATTATTTCACTGATCCTCGGACACCTTGTTAGACTTTGTGCTGCGGAAAAAGCTTAATAAACTAAGAAAGTGCTTAACAGGTTTAGAAAAATTTCTCTGTCAGTAAGCGTTTCAAGGTGGCAGCCAGCAGCAAAGGCCTTTGTGGATTCCAGATGGTGCTAAAGCTCCCTCCCTTCACACATTTGTCTGGAGCTCTGCCATATCAAGAAACAGAATAATCTCACTAAACCTCTTCTGGTTGAGTTATAATATGTTTCTCAGAAGTTTGTGAGGAAGTTATGTTTGCATTCATATTATTCCTTAAACTGCCTGCCACAAAGACCATTGTAAATAATGGCTTATGTAGACCCTAGCATTCTGGTTCTCATTAAAAACTGGCAGTGCCCCAGAAAGTCACATTTTCCTCAAAAATGCACAAATACCTTCCCTTTTTACTGCCTTCACTGGGTGTTATTTTGCTTAACGCCTACCTAATGCTATCCCTCTGCAAAACTCTGTTGCCCTAACTGTCAAAGATCCAGCCTTTTTTTTCCCCCTTTCTTTTTCAAAAAAGAAATGGTTGGATTTCCTTTAAGTTAAAACTCTGTCCCTTCATCTTGTGGTTTGTTAGAAATTATAAGCAGTGCACACCTACAACAGTGAGAATTCAGGTTGCAGCACAAAGCACAGATCACAGCTCCATAACCTCAGACAGACTCCAGTGCCAAATCAAGATACAGATAGTTCACCAAGTAACAGTGCTTCATCACAGTTCATTCTCACTAGGTAGTCATCCCAGTGATCTCAAGGCACCTTTCATTACCAGAATTTGAACAAGTGACATTACTGTAAGTCAGATATCTCCTTTTCAAGTATTTCTATGCCTACCCACCTCTTGAAAGGTCACACGGTATCTAAAAATCCCAGTAGGGAAGTTATCAAAATCCATCACAAATTGACAGCAAGACTCAAAGGCAAAGTCTACAAAAGCATAAAAGCCTCACAATATGCATTTTCCAAGCATCTAGGACTTAAGAGCTGACCAGCAAACCAGTTTAGGATCTACAACTGGACTGGTTCTATTACTGCACTTAGGACAGAAAAGGGCACAATTTTATTAAGGGAATCTTTGTGCCATTCTGGGTACGTATACTTGGAATGCATTTACCTAAAGCACACCAAATGCAAGCTGATAAGCTCTCACTCTGTTTCTTTCCGTCAGGTTAATTGTAGGATGGCAGCCAGATCATAACAGTCATGAAAATAGAGAACAAAAGCAGAAAAATCAATCCAGTCATACTATACTTTTGTCCATTTGAAAACACAGCCATGGTAAACTAAAGAAAGTTGACGACTTCTTCTAACTTAAGGAACTCCCTAATTAAAAATCTGACAAATACAAGATGAGATGAGGACACACAATTACACCAGTGTGGATTTTGTGCTTCAAGTTTGTAGCAGCAAACCCACTTGAGAATTCTGAATTTCTGCATGACAGGAAAGGCTGGGATATGCCAGCAAACATTTGTCATATTGCTCAATAAGTGCAAACTGCAGGAAATTAGCTTAGGAATAACGACTTTTAAAATCTTAGACAAGTGACTGAAGAAGATGTGCTGATACAACAGACTACAAGTAAATCCATTTACTCCACTCTGTATTCTCAAACATGGACAGAGCTGCTCACACAAATCCACCTACACACAATACTAACAGGATATGCAAAAGACATATGCTGGTACCAGAAAGATTTGTAATCATAACATTTTCTTTCCATGTAATTTAGGCCCTGATGTTGCACCACTACAAAAAAAGCACTCCAAAATTAGCCTGTAACATTGCTGGGATAATAACAAGATATTCCTGGGCTTTTGCTTGTGTTACAGGACATTCGGGATATGGAAAGTAGCAGTGGGGCCTGTGCTTGAAGTGCTGATCATCCAAGGACAAAGCTGGGAGAAAGGGAATTAACATAAAAACAAAGCATGAGACAAATTGTCTTGTTTATTTTTGAGTGGAAGCAGATGATGCAAAGGGGTAATTTTACAGGAGGGGGGAAGGAGATGTTGCAAAGTGATAACCCAACAGGGGCAATGAAAGGATGAGGAAGGAAACGGTAGGAGGATGTTGTAGAGTGTGGTAGGAAAGCTAGTAATTAACGTACATAAGGGTGACAAGCCAAAGCATCCAGAAAATTCAGATCATTCTGAGTTCAAGTGGGAGAAAACAGTTTACTGGGACTGACCACTTCCTAGAACTGGGGAGGCTCCTGCTGCTCAAGATAAATATATGTGCGTATGTGTGCATGTGTGCGTATGTGCAAGTGAGAGAATGAGCGAGACCGGCTCTTCCTCCCCCAGATCACATCTTAATGATGATGTCTAGGCGTTTCCATGGCACTTCCCTAGAATGTAGTTCTGCAGTCCATCAGGCTAAATTACAGAATGGAGACAGGCAGATGACCAGATTAAAAAGATGTCAGGGAAGTTCAGGGTTGACATCACAAACAGAATTGGTCTGGAACTTTCATAATTCAACAGATATGAGCTATGAAACTACAGCCAGGGGAATCCATAATTCTGCAGATCCAGCAAGGCCACGATTCAGCTGACCCTACAGAGTTGCTTCTTAACAGTTCCAAAACTAACACAGGTTTTTACAAATGAAACTCAACCTGCTGTTCAAACCTTTTGCTGCAGGTCCTAGAGCATGTTCTTTATAGTCCCCACATACAGGTCAAATGGAAGCCCCTTCTTAAACTAAAGATGCTTCTCCCAATGACTTAGGTCAAAAAATACAACTTTTAACTTCTCTAGGCTTATCATTCTCTTCCTTCCCCAACTAGTTTTTGGACTGCATGCAACCTTCGTTTACGCAGGTCCCACTACTCACTCAAGTCTACTGAATTAAGATCACATGCCCAAAAGAAAAATAACCCTTACCTTAAAACAACTGCAGCTCTCTGCAGTGTAGGCACCTCCCTGCAAAAGCAGCAGCTTTGTAGCCTCATCTGTCTAACCCTAATGCTTTTCAATATAGAAACATCCTTTAGGACCACACAAATACTCCATGCCTCCTCTAACACTCATTACTATCTAAAACTGCCTGAGCTCCCCTGAGCAAAGCATGTGTAGTTCAGTTTCCCACAGCTTGACGTATTCAAAAAAAACCACTACAGAGTTCACAAGATCTGTGCACCACTGAAGCTTATACAGCTAAAACAAAGGTCTCTAAGGATTGCAAATCAATTTAAGACATCTTAAATACTGTTCTGGTTATATGTGTATATTAACTAAAGAAGCAATGCTATACAGTGAGCAGAAGAGACAACTGTAGTTAGTTTGGTATAACGTCTCCCATTACAAGGCAGTTTACAGCCTCTTAAAAACCTTCACAAATATACACTTTGGGGGCAAAACTGTCCACTTTACAGGACTACTTCAAACGGCATTTACATAGACAGGAGCTGCATTCCTGTTTCTGTCACTTTCAAGAAGAAAGGTCAGGAAGAAAAAAAAGTTTAAGCTAGCACTGCAACAAAGAGTTCTAACTTCCTCATGTCTAAAGAGCAGAGACTGTCCTAGAATAGTGGCCAGGAAGCCGCCTTTTGTAGCCTATCAGATTTCATCTAGCTTTGGTCAACTGTTAAACTTCACAAAATTACAACCTATGCGTGCTTAGTGCAACTAGCTGATAAAACCCCCAAAAGGCCAATCGCAAAGCTCCTTACACAGCGCAAAAGCACAACACAAAAGCAAAGCAACAGAACAACTCATTCAGGCTGGCAGTTTAGAAGAGACTACGGATAAGGATGAACTGTGGGGCAGCGGCACTCTTTGGGGTGACCCTACATAGTCCTAACACACCAGCTACCCAGACCAAGGGACCTTTACCTTCACGCTACTATTTCCCCCCCTTTCCACAACCCACATCCCTGGGTTACCTTCCTCTCCATGCAAGAAAAGAAAGGAAAGGGAATACTGTACATGCAGGCCTTGTCCTACCATGTAGCTAAGATGTGCCCACGATTTATGCCTGAGCACAAGAGTGCTCTTAGCTTCTATTTAAAATGAGCTCTTTGGAATCTCAGGCCTCAGCTCTTTCAGTAAATGACGCTTGTAATGCTGGCTACATCACAGCCTTTGCTTTTAGGACTAAAATTTCTAAGACAGATTGTTACTCCATTTTACAATTGCAGTAGCCTGATCAGAGACCTTTGACAGAGATCTCCGATACTGTCTGCCTTTTCCATAAAGCTACAATGGATTTCTGCACCTGATCTACTTCTTAAGCCATCTGTAAGAACATCGAGTCATTTATCACCATTTGGACTAGCAAGAGAATCCAAGATTGCCCAGCCTTCTCCTACCAACTCTCGCATAGCTGTGCAAGTCCCCGACAAAGCTGGCCTTTGCACAGGATAGTAGCCCACTATGAATTACATAAACAGGGATAGGATTTATCAGTCATTCTCTTGTTCCACAGACCTTCTGTGACTTGACTTTCGTTGCAGTCTGGATGATGGCCTGGTCGGAAGTGCACAGCAATGGATTTTTGTCATTGTTTTATCAGTTTATTTTTTAATCTGGATTTATATAATCATTTACTACTGTAAAGGTTAAGGATGCAAAGGCAACTTAAAATTTCAGAACTAAGGTTGTCTGGCAACTTAAGTTTGGCCCTTACAGACACGCGTTGTGATACAATCCCTAAATTACAAGAACACTCACCGGTAACAAGAAAGACCCACGCCCCATGGATGCATGGAAAAGGCATTGAGATAAGGTATAAAGAAAAAGTTCCTGAGGCCTGGGCCTCAGCAGAACTAAATTCTTCTCCTTGCTTTTCCAACATAACTCCTACATATAATACTGCCATGTGAGAGAGCTGAGGCTAACACACAGATCCTTGGTGGGATTAGGATTTTCAAGTTTCAGGACTACAGGCTTTGTAACTTCATTTTTAATAGTTAAATACAACAAAGTAATATGCCCATTACAGCAATGCTCAAAAAAGAGAGATGGGAAGCTAGCATCTGCCTAAGGATCCATTGCAAAGACTATTCAGGATTTTTAGTTTCCAGCTGGAAAGTTATCAGTTGTGGACAGAAGGTATCTCAAGTTAATAAGTCACTGAAAGAAACAGTAAAGAAGATTATCATTCATGAGGACAATAAGTGCTGGTCAAAGATAGAACATTCAGAATTATTAAAACAGGAGCAGCTAATTCCCTATTGCATTAAATCAATACAAATCTTCAATCGAGTTATTTTGCTACAGAAACTGCCAAGAGCTTCTTGTACAGTATTATTTATTATATAATAAAAAAAGCAACGCTTATATAGCACATATAGGATACATGTAGGCAAGGGGGAAGTTATAGCAAGCATTAGCAGAACATGATCAAGTAGTCATTACAACACTACTAGGAAAATAAAAAAAGCAACCTCCTCAAATGAATAACCCAGAACGTTTGCTTTTCTGTAGGCAAGTATTTATCTGTACCCGTAGGGGGTAGCAATATGTAATAAAAGTCTATAAAGGAAGGTGCAATCCAGCTGCTTGGTACCTGAGCTTAAGTACTTTGGTACTCGGATTGAGACCCACATTAACACTTTTCTGCAACAGAAAAAGTTATGAACTTCGACAGTGCATTTCCACCCATACCCCATTTCTCAACCTCTTTTGACACTGCTCAGTAAAACCAGATGATCTCCAACTACTTCAAGAGACTAGTATAATCAGAGGTAACAGGCATTTGTTTCTCAAGTGCAAATCGAACCATTATTTATCTATTTTCTATTTGCAAAAACAAAGGATTTCCTGGTAGGAGACTGATTCTTACAACTCTTGTGTAACCAAAGAGCTGTGGTAATACAGAAAAGAAGTCTGTAGTTGCAGGCTAAGCCCAACACATGAGCGCTGCCGGCAGAAATTGTTTGGATGCTGTGAGCAAGTGCTGCCCTCTCCTGGCAATTTATTTCCTCAAGCGATTATCACCTCCTCACCATTTCCTTTGCTGTAACAGCAAACAGTTAAGCAAACACTTTAAAAAGACTGAAAGAGAATTACAGATTTTACTTCTACTGGTAGGCAGATCCAGGGGGAGGCATTTTAGTGCCCTGAACCACCTTCCCTCTACATACAGTGCCTCCAGGATTGCTGCCCACTTTCACTCTGCACTTGTGCTCTACCAGGCTGCAAAACTCCAAAGAGTGAAGCCTGCAGGATAGGAAGCTGCTACCGGCTCCTGGAGGACAGATCCTATAGCCCAGGCCCTGCCATGCCCTGTTCTCCTCTCCAGCAGCCTAACTGCACCTGCCTGTCCACCTCTGATACTTTCTCTAGCCTGGCCATTTGATGCCACCGACAGGTGGGTTACAAGCCTGCTTCCAGGCCTGTTAGACAGTGGGAGAAGCCTTCAGTTTGTACGTACGTGCATGTGAGTAGGCTCAAATGAAAGAGAGAAGCTGAGGGTGACAGAAATAGTTCCAGCAGTTTCACAGGCAGTGAGGGAAGTATGACACTGTCACCTGCTCAGCCAGCAGGGCAAATATTCCCAAACTCTTGTACAGTACCAGAGGTAGGTGCCTTTCGCACTGCCCTTTCTACAGCCCCATGGGGGTCACTTCAAAGCTATGATGTCAATCCAAGGCATTCACCACACTGAAGATTCAGGTAAGCATTCCTGATTCACACAGGGAATCTGAGACCTGAGAGAGTCCAAGGGAATGATTAACACAGGGCTCATTCACAGGGGAAGGAAGTAAACTGCTAAGAAAAGCAAGCTATTCCAGTAAACTTAATGCATTTAGGACTAGGTCTAGGAAATGAAATACTTCCCAAAAAGCTGTGAGTTTACCCTACGGCTACGACTGGAAGCCAAGTATAAACGGCTCGTGGCTGTGCCATGCAGCACTGGGTCTGAAATGAAAGGTGTTGAGATCCTCAATAGTCTCAAAGTTAAAAAATAAAAAATAAAATAAATAAATAAATAAATAAAAATCTTTAACCTAAGTTTGCAAGACAGCTCAAAACAAAGGAACCTGAAAGCTTTCTGACTTTCTGTAGCAACAGAAACACAAGCAGCAGTGCCAAGGGACCTTGCACTGCGGTAAGGCAGTAGCACCCATTCAGCTTGGCACGGCAATGCTCACCTTTCAGAAATATGCAGCACTTTCTTCTCCTCTTTGCTGTACAATAGATACCACTTCCCAGGAGAAAATAGCTTTCTGTCCCTCAACTGTGCCATGTCCTTCTGTACATACTAACTTTTCAGAACTGCTGCTGATCCTCATTCTTGAGCTATAATTCAGATTTTTTTGAATCAAACCTGTATTACCTTAAATATGATAGCAATGGGAATATCTTCTGACAGAGTGTTATGCCTCAGGTAAAACCTTCCTTGTTTCACAACCATATTTGTTCTGCTCTTCTTCTCATGAGTGGAACTGAGAAAAAAAAAACACACACACACACACACACATTATGTCAGACGCAAGGATTGCACTGACGCTCCTAGAATCTTCTGTGTAAAACACTTCAAGTTTCAGCAGTCTTTCAGCTGAATTAATCCCACTATCTCCTCTTCTAGGAATTACATAAAAACAGCCAGACACCACCCCATAACTCTAAGGTAACAGGATACTACTATTTGTGATGGGGAATGTCAGTATGCATCTCAAGCAGGTAAAAGTTTGTACTTTTTTTAAATCATGCATGCATGCTTTCATATCCAGTCATACGTATCTAGCAAGGTCAATCTGTACATAGGTACTGTGGCAACACCAGTAAGGAGGTATAGTGCTTTTGGTTGTACTTTTAATCTCATCTGGGCTGTCTGTGCAGCAGTACAGTAGCTGGGAGAGAGGTATGAGAAGCATCTAGGAGAAAAGACGACAGCCCTCATATCGAAGAGTGACAAGCACCATATTACACCAGCATACCAGCACGAAGCTACAAAACTAAAAGGCAATCAAAACACATATAAAACTCAGTCAAGGAGGAAAGGCCAAACTCGGACTACTAGCCATTTTCAGTAATTTGTGCAGTACAAAAACATTAGTTTTGCATATCCCATAAGTAGGTGCATTTGTTACACATAGCAGCTCCATTTTGGCTACACTGCTGATCTGGTTGTGTCCCTTTCTTTTACCCTACAATGGCAGTGTAGCTTCTGGAGAGCTTTGTGTAGAACAGATTAATTTCACTTTACCTGGACAATTTACATCTATCCCAGGTTATTGTAATAGCCTCTGACTGTCAAAGGAAAAGTTAAGTCAAGACAAACTTCTCTCATGCAGCCTTTCTGTAGGTCCATGTGTTAATAGCCTCTGTCATCCTTACAGAGGTTGCCAGAATGGACACTTTCCCAATTTTAAGTTATTGCCATGACACAAACTGCATTGTAGTGCATCTTCCAGGCTGAGTAAATTAGCCCACATTAAGTTATGTGAGTCCCGAGGTGTCCATATCATGAAGCAAGCTACTAATGCTACTAGAAAATAAAAATCCTCAATTTTTGGTTCCTTCTCAATTTCCTTTAAGTGCTTTTACACCACTTGGAGTTAGAGTTAGATAAAAGGTTACAGCCCATTTCCATTGCAATAACTTCATGCTACCTGCTGCAAAATGAGGCCCAAGGACCATCAATTACAAGGTGCATTTTGTTATGTTAAAAATTAGAACTCACTTTTCCTAGCCTGGGATAAATCCTGAAGCCTACAAGTAACTCTCACTGATTTTCATGGGGATACTGTACAGACTGTTTTGGGGACTGATATCTTAGCATACAAAATGACTGTAGCAAGAGAGAGACACTGGATGCCTACAGCTTTTTCCCATTAAACTGTATTAGAGAAAAAAAGACCCACAACTTCTAGAGCTTCATTCTTATCTCCTTTACGTAATTGCACAAATGCCCCATACCTGGTAACAGAAGCGCCAACCGTGCCTTTTCTATCAGCCTCCACAATGATTCTGTTTTTGGATAACTGCTCTTGAATAAGAATGACTTTCTCAACCCCTTTAACAATGAAATAGCCACCTATTTAACACAAAAGAAAGATTTTGCATGTCAGTACCTTTGTACCTTACTCACCTCTTTCAATACGCTTTTGAATATAATTTACTAAAAAATAAACTGCAAGTACATAAAGGGTGAAATAGGAGAGTAAATTCTGCCTTGAAAGAGTAAAGAACAAACTCTGTCTGGAACCTCTAGTAACTAGGAAAATGTTCCATTAGACTGCTAGGTTCACATTTAGTATTTTCAATCTAAGACTCCGGGAAGTACTTGGATAGAATAGAAAAGGGCCAGAGAGAACTTTCAAGCAGACCAGAATCTGCAGAGCTTTCTGCTTACTTATTTAAAGGCGTTATAAAATGGTTACTACTATAAATTGAGTAAAAATACTGCCTGCCCAAAGAGTACGTAATTAACACATTAAAAAAAAACAACTGGCTGTTTCAGATGCTTGGTATCAAATAAAGAGAGTTAAGTCTTCCATAATTACTGACTTGCTCTCACCAGCACTCCAGTGAGAAATGTATCACGTATTACTTTTAAAAATGTATTTCAATGCATTAGATACTTGCTGTATCTAACACAATGAGAAATCTGTACATCTGCCATGTTAGATCCCTCTCTCAAAATGTAGCTATCTATTTAAGCTCCTTGAGCACAGTACTTCATGCCACAGTATCCTGCCAACACAAGCCAGCACAACACGTCTAGTGCATGCTTCAAAAGCGGCATGTAAAAAGCAAAGAAATTCCTTGTTATAACCCTTCCTCTCCTTTCTCTATTTCAAATATTATCATATGCCTCCTTACAGGACATGGCAAATAAGGGTTCCTGCTCTGGAAGATACCATTATATTCCCCTCTCCCCAGTCCATTTCATTTCCAAGAACTAACTCCCTCTTTATTTTCATACAACACATCCACGTATAAATACATTTTTCAACTTTTTCAAAACATTGGTGTATCGCTTTTGAGGTTGAAAATTCTGTCTACAAATAAAAACACTGCATACTGTCAACTATTTCTTATTATTTTCAAAACCCTGTCGGTCTCTTTTAGTTACAGGTATACATTTAAGAACTTTCCATGACGACTTCACAGTAGCAGGAAATGTACTGATGGGATAGGTTTTCTCCCAGTATTCATTCCATTATTTTTCTAAACATCTCTTAGCAGAAATACATTTAAAATTAAAAGCCCAGATGGAAAAAAAAGAACGTAAGTGAAGATATACCTGGATCTAAAGGACATTCATTAAGTTTGGCAAATTCTGCTGGAGTTTTCCCAGTAAGAACACAATTTGAGCTACGCAGCATTATAGGCATTCTGCAAGAAAACCACAGTTGCTCTTGTAGTTTAGATTCAGAGAGAAAAATATGAACAGTCAAATTCAGAACAATAACCGTGCTGAACAAACTGGAAAGAACAAGGAGAACATTCTAGGTTTAGAACATGGGCAAGTTATTGAAAATAGTTTTTTCCTTTAATCCCACCTTACTGCACTGAACGTGTATTTTGAAAAGGACTATTGAAATTGGACATCATTGGCAGATTTAGTTAGCTTTTATGCAGCTAGCCCAGGCACCCACAGCAAGCACAGCCATCAAGGCCACTGTCTTTTGTATAGAAGCATCACATATATTTTAGTGAAAATGCACTTTCACTCAAATTTTTTTCTTTATATATAAGACACTGCACAAAATAATGCAAAGGACTCAAAATCAGATATTCATTTTAAAAAAGTTTTATTTTCTTAACAAATGACTAATAATAGTACAGTGTTACTGCAGCTACAGAAGGCTGGTTTTATAACTGCATTGCTGTATATCACTTCCTCTTGACAAATTCAGAGCATTTTTTTTTTATACGGCAGCTCAAAATTTCACCATAAGAAGTAGCTCCTTACATACCTTCCTTCTCTCTCCTGCTAGTATTCTACCTTTGCTAACATGCACAAGCACTTATTAAAGAATATTGGCAGGCCACTGTCTTTTAAAGCCAGCTAGGTTGCCTTTAAGGACCCTTGTCTACAAAAAAACATCTTTGCCACCTTTAAACAGAATTGTGCTTCCAGCAAACACTAGAACCACCAGGCATTTTGCCTTTTTTGCCATGGTTGGAGCTTGTTTTTCTCCCTCAGCCTTTACCATACTGATACTCTCAACTCATCTGACAGGCTTTAGAGAAACAAAATCATGACCACAATGGAAAACGCTCAAAAATTTATCCACAAAACTCAGTCTTGTCTCTAAAATAAAGCAATTTTAAAGGAGAGTTTAACCGCATATGGAAGAACCAATGCTTGCTTTACTCGTTTTACCATCCAGCTTCCGCAGACATATCTCTGCAAGTTAGGTACAGAAGACCGAGAAAAAAAGTACATTTGGCTATAACGCAAACATGATTATTTTCATTTTGCAATAATCCGACCTGTAGCTCTAGTATTCTTTCGTGCATTTTCGTCTTTGGTTTTAGCTCCATCCAAATACAGACAATATCCCTCATTAAATTCATTCTTCTTAGGAGAAGGCAAATATCCAAAAGCTTTGGCAAAACAAAATCTTGTAACAGATCTAACAATCATATCCTGTACAGCTGTTCATCGAGGTTTGCCTGCTCACTTTCTCTTTTCAGGTAAACTTCCATTTGTTTTACAGTAATAACTTCTCCCACCACATGGGACAGACAGCAAATAAAAACTAATACCAGAAGCTTGACATGTGCTATCTTACCTGCCAATGGGTAACGCATTGCGGATGATCCTCTGGCTACCTCGTGTATATTCAATGTCCACTGTAATCGGGGCAGAATACGTCATATCTCTCAGGCGGCACTAGAAAGAGAACAGTCGTATGTTTAGATGTTGGCTTAGACTTTCAAGAGTCCTTACAATATCCCACGTTTGCCCTGTCTCCTGCAAGCTCTCATGAAGAAAGAAAGCAAAGTGATGCTTGACCAAGCTCTTCACAGTACCTGGATTATGTCTGGCAAAGTCTCTTGTTTAAAAAACAAAACCAAGAAAACCCTAATACAAGTACTGTGATGTCTCAGAAGCAGTCAGTGGAATTGTCTCTTTAAAAAGACAGCAGTGCAGGACATAACTTCTAAACTTAATTAAACAAACAGGCCTAGTTGGCAGAGCTGACACAAGGGTTTCAGAACCGGGCTGTGCCCGGGCAACAACGTGCTCTGAGAGGGGTTCTTGGCTGAGGAATGTTTCTAAATGAAGACCCTCAACAGCTGGAAAATGTGCTGTCAAATGAAGTTTGGCAGAAGGGCAACACACAAGAGTAAAAGGCACACTGAACTATCTTGTTAATAGAGTAATGAACAAATCTCAGTGTGGTGCTGTTTCCAAAGATGACTCACAGAAGATTCACTACGTGCCACTTCCTCTCAAGATTCCTAAAATCCATATGCAAATTTCTCAGATAGCAAGAGGAGCAGCACATACACATCTAGGACATTAAATAGCTCAAGGTTCATCCATTTCTAGTCAGATCTTTCTGGTCTGCTTTCCTCAACCCTGCTCTACTACTCTTTTCTAGCCCTTTAGGTATTGCATAACTTTATGCAAGACACAACTTACTGTGTTTGCAGAATGTGACAGAGCAACTGACAGTAGGTCAATTTGTGACCTTGCTGAGCATTTTATACCTTTGAGCTCCAGAATTATGGATTTATCAGGATTCTGACTTGTACGCTTATGGCTCTCTATAATCACTCAGCTTATTAATGATGAATTAATAAAAGGCAATTAAGATTTTCCTGCGCATTGAAGATGCAACTGCATGGAAAAACATGCCTCAAGAATAATTGCAAACTGGATGCCCTTTCTTTCCACACTAAGAAAACCATTTCTCTTGGGCACTAGCAGTTTTCAAACTGTGACTTGTAGAAAAGTAGGTCCCATTGTGCTCCCAGCAACTTCACTGAATTTAAAAGTAACTGAAAATATACTCATCTTCTAATTACTTTAAACTCCTGTGTATACCTAGATGATTAAACTCCCATAAGGAACAACCGAGAGGGAGGGCTAGACAGCTTCATTAGTATTGCTTTGCGGAAAAGGGGCTTCAGGATTCCTTACGCGTGCTTTGTCCACACAAGAGACAGATGTGAAATAAGAACTACACAGTGCATCAATCTGCTGCTTGTCCTTTTGCATCTCCTTGCTTGAGGTAACTTTGCCTTATATTAGGCAGCTAGAGCTCAAAGGCAGGCAGGCAGGCAGGCACTATTTAAGAAAATGACCATAGCCTTCACATGTATAACCCACTGAAAAAAAATGAAGCACTGGCAATAAGTAGCAGTGAGGATAGGCCTGAGATGCAAGAGCAGGATATTCTAAATTAAAAGTGAATATACTCCATGAAGCACTTATTTTGCTTTCTGCTGCACGTAGTCACTTTACCTAATAATTTTCATTACAAGAGAAAACACAATAAGCACAATTTTTAATAGCTGGATTCTTGGGTCTCAGTTCTCAGCCACAAACAATTTTTTGCATGCAATTTCATTTATACGGAAAAGATCTTTCCAACTGCATTTTGTGCACCATCATATCTACTAATTTAACATTAGCTACAAAATTGTGAGCACTCTGAGCTGTGCTGCCGCACCTCTGCCTACACAGCTAACGGCTGAGTTACTTGCCTTAAAATCTCTCCATGAAACTAAATGGGCTTTGAGTCAGCTTCTGGATCATTTTGTGCTGCCTATGCACCTGAGGCAGCCACTAGATGGCTTCTTTACAAAATTTCTGGTAAGTACAGAATGTCTTCCACGCTAATGTCAAAACAGCATGTCACATACATTCCATGTATTATGATCCAGTATCACGTATGAAATGTATATAGTAAGGAAAAAAGGGTGCTGAAACGTGAACTGATTAATCAGGTTAACAACTGGCAGTATTTCGATAAATGGAACATGAAGGCGCAAGTCCAAAGCTCAGGTCCCTTTCCAGGGCCAAAAAAAAGTTGGAAGTTCCTCAGCAGCAGTGATATCAATCTCAAAATATGGCAGGAAAAGAGAAATACTTTCTGCCTTACACCTTATATTCTACCAAAAGCAACAGACTCACTGATTTCACTCACACCAGCATTTGTTCTCCAACACGCATATTTATTGCGGAAGTAAACAACCATTTGTTAACCTACATGCTTACCACAGAGCAAAAAAGATAAATATGCTCCCCATAAGGCTAATGATCTTCTGCAATTTCTAAGAATTGTATCAAATTCCATCTGCTTCTGCTCAAAATTGCCACATATGCCCTCTTAAAAATGATGAGCAAAAAACAAAAGATGTACCCCCAAAGACGACTGGGACGGAAAGGGAGACTGAAATGACCTATGGTGCAGAAAGTAGCTATGCTAATATTAGAAAAAGCTCAATAGAGACATGAAAGAGCACCGCATTGTAGTCTCCAGGCATCAAGTCTGTCATTAGGAGAGCCACAGGCTAAGCAAGAGATGTACTTTCACCACTTCCAGGGAAACCCACTCAAATATAGCTACATTAAAACGCTGAATCGTTTTCATGAACAGCTGAACAGCTATTCGTACACGCTAGGAATGTTAACCAAAAGAACCCCAAAATTATTGCACGGTGTTTAAAACTCTGAAGTTTCTTTCTACACCGAAGAGGATCTAAAGAATAGCACCAAACATCAAGTAGTAGCAATGTCTGCAAAACAAAAAGTTATATGCAGCCACTACCCAAGACATTCCAAAGATCAAACAAAAAAACTGCAGACGGAATCATTACTACCTCATGAGGTGATACGGGTCGTGTCACATTAAAGCTTTCTTCCACGTCTGGAGTACCCACATAGATATTGAGGTACCTGTAAAACAAACATTTCCAAAATGAGAAACGACCCAAATATTTTCCAGGTGACCTGAAGGAAGAAGAGTTCGTATACTGAAAAATGAAGTTCTTCTGATGAACATGGGTCGATTATAATGAGCAATGATTCTTCCCAAAGTAACCCATTGTATTTGACCTATATTCTAGTCACAGTAAAAATTTAAACTGCATATGCAAAAAGCCCCAAGTTACCTTTACAAAGAGAGAGATCTAAACTCCTCTGTCACCCAAGATTACTGAGTTACAGAAAAACAGCAATATAAAGTACCATTAACAGCTGGTTAACAACTCTGCTTAACCAGACTGTTAAGCTTCCATACCTTGTTACGCTGTGAATAACAGTTAAGTCATGCAGAAGACTCTTGATGTCATGCAGGCTATGTATTTTACAGACAACGAAAAATCTGTGAGATAGTATGTATTCTACTACTGATACAGAAATCAGTTTTACGCTTACTTCAAGTACCACATTGGATCAGCATCACTTGTCACTTTCTCGTTGGCCTTCATGATTTTCTTTATCTGAAAAAGAAGAGAATTGAGTCACATGCTTTTTCTGATGACAAAGCGTCACCCCCTTCCCACAAGAAAGCATTACCTCTACATTGATGAAATAGTTGAACGAATCTATGTGCTGCTTCACAAGTCCTTTCACCTAGAAAATAAATGCACGCAGCAAATAACATTAGCTTCAGTAACATTAACCATAAAAGACATAAGAAATTAAGCATTTATAAGCACTTCTGGATCTCCACTAAAATCTTTTTTTAGGCATTTACAAGCATTTCTGGATCTCCACCAAAATCCTTCATTTGATGAATGTCTGAAAACTCCCTGGATAATCAGTCTGGTTCTGCACTGTATGTTTCCAGGTTTACATCAGGGTTGTCATTGTTCTCAGAGCCAAAATAGTAATTCAATAATTAAAATAAAGTAAGCACACAATGGACTTTGAAATTCATATAAGTAAAAGCATTGCAAGTCAACTTATTTTGTTAGTTTGCCATTATTGTGAAATAATTTTAATCACGTATAGTACTATTAACCATTTGTGCTACTAAGAAGGAAACGGTCTGCACCCTAACAAAAGCAACTGTAATAAAGAAGAAACAGGGAGAGTCAATGAGACAGGGCTGACTGAACAGAGGCGGGCTGTGAGAGAGAAGTCGATAAGCAGGCAAACAACAGACCCCGGAGGACATGACACTCATAAGATAAATTTGAATTGGATTTGCAGATCAACCGGAAGTCAGAGAACATGCCCAAGAGTAACATCACACAGAATAAACAGTACCCTGTTCTTCTAGGTAGTGAATTGATGCAGCACTTCTCCAGGATTTATGTTTAAGGAATTTAGAGCAATCAGAAGAAGGGGAATTATAATAAATATTTTTTTCTTTCATCCTAGATAAATTTAAAGATTTCAGTTTGATGGAATACTGAGAGAAGCATTCGTTCCACTAACAGATGAGAGGTTTCAGAAATAAAAGGTGAGGCTATACCAATTACAGAGCAAAATATAGCCTTTAGCAGCAATTAAAATGGATCACAGAATAGTTGAGGTTGGAAGGGACCTCTAGAAATCAGCTAGTCCAACTCCCTTGCTCAAGTGGGGTCACCTAGAGCAAGATGCCCAGTAACATACCTAGACAGCTTCTGGATTTCTCCACGGATGGACGCTCCACAACCTCTCTGGGCAACCTGTTCCAGTGCTCGGTCACTCTCAGGGTAAAGAAGTCTTTTTCTTATATCCAGACAGAACTTCCTTTGTTTCAATTTGTGTCCATTGCCTCTCGTCCCATTGCTGGGCACCACTGAGAAGAGTCTGGCTCCATCTTCTTTAATACTTCCCATCAGGTGTTTATACACACTGATATAAGATCCCCCCAAGCCTCTTCTTTTCTAGGCTAAACAATCCTAGCTTTCTCAGCCTTTCCTCGTATGACAGATGCTCCAGTCCCTTAATCATCTTTATGACCCTTCGCTGGACTCATTCCAGTAGCTCCATATCTCTCTTGTACCGCAGAACCCAGGAGTGGACAAAACACTCCAGATGCAGCCTCATCAGGGCTGAGTAGAGGGGAAGGATTGCTTCTCTCGACATACAGGCAACCCTCTGCCCAAAGCGGCCCGGGATACCATCGGCTTTCTTTGCCACAAGGGCACATTGCTGCCTCACGTTCAACCTGGTGTCCACCAGGACCCATAGGTCCTTCTCCGCAGAGCTGCTTTCTTGCGGGTCAGCCACCAGCCTGTGCTGGTGCCTGGGGATATTCCCCCTCAAGGGCAGGACTTTGCACTTCCCTGTGTTGAACTTCACGAGGTTCCTCTTTGCCCATCTCTCCAGCCTGTGGAGGTCCCCCTGAACGGCAGCACAACCATCTAGTGTATCAGCCATTCCTCCCAGTTTTGTATCATCAGCAACCTTGCTGAAGGTACACTCAGCCTCATCATCCAGGTCATTAATGAAGAAGTTGAACAGTATAGGACCCAGTATCAACCCCTGGGGTACACTGCTAGTCTAGCCTCCAACTAGACTTCATGCCACTGATTACCACAACCTGAGCTCAGTCGTTCAGCCAGTTTTCAATCCACCTCACTGTCTGCTTATCTAGGCTGTACTTCATCAGCTTGTCCAGTGCTAGCAAATTTTGAGATGCACGCTTACATGCTGACAGATGGCTTTAGGCTTTAAACATTCAATTACAGCTAAAAGGTTGCAAGATTTTAAATTCCATACAGAAAACAGAGGAACCCAGAGAAAAAACAGAGATGAAAACTAAACTAAACTAATTAGCAGGTAAGGATGGCTTAGACCAGCAGCATCCCATGTAAGCACACACAAGATTGAGAGCTTGTGCTCTGCCAGACCTGTGCTCGCTGCATGACAGAAGACTGGCAATCAGCAGCAACAATCCCAGATCAGGGCTGTGAGGTGGGACAAGGAACTTCACAAGTTCACTTTTAATGGCCTATTTTGCTTGATAAAGGTTGTGCTTATATGATTTCTTGATCTTGTCCGAAGGCCACAAAAAACACATTTGTGTATTTCGCATGATAGACAACAGTTCAGTCTGAAATTGTTAGAAGGAAATAGGAAACTTGGAATGATAAATCTAGCTGCTCAGTGAATTCCCCACAGGCTAAGACACAGGAAGAATGACTCCAGAGCAAAACTCTTTAGGTAAGAGTTCTGCTATCTTACAAAAACATTGCACATCATATGACATAAGCAAAAAAAATACTATGGGCTTATTAGTGTTTAGAAGTCAGGCTAGCTCCTCTTTCGATTTTTATAAGGAGATGTCGACAGCTTTATCAAAAGACAGCTCCACTATGGAAACTGTAATGCACAACATTTTGTAATTGTCTAAGTGCATCACTGCTGGCATAAATACAACAACATGCAACAAAAAGGCCAGACCACCATCAGCAGTCCTAGAGTAAAGGGCTCACAGGCTGGAAATAATGTGGGATGGATACATTTGGCATAAAGCACACAATAAGTCACACCTCACCATCAGCAATCCTCCCTTTTTAACAGTCTCAGGAATTCAGACAGTATCACTAGCTCAAGCATGTGATGGATGTTTATAAGAGTGCTAGGAGAGACATAGCAATAGGATTCATTAGGGCCCAAAAATATCTTCACAGCCCTGAACCACAGTGAAAAGGCATACACAGTCCATAAGTGAACTCTGAATTTTGTTTTCCTGCAAAGATGAAATACTGGACCGTGTAACAGAAAGAGGGGTGCACGGATATTACACTGGGAAGGAAGGGAATTCACAAAATTAGGCTGAAGAGAGCCTTGCTGAAGCAGGTAACATTTCAAAGGATGGATGACATGCACGCAGAGGTGGCTGCAATTTCCTGAAAGTACCTGTGCACATCACAGACTTTACCTGCCATCTTTATGATACAATATCATTACTGTCTTTCTCCCTTCTCACTTCCAACTGTTTTTTACTCCTGTTACTACATCTAATTGCATTTGTAAATAGAACTGTGTCTTCAGCTAGGGCCAGACTGCAGAGGTAGCACTGAAATCAACACAACATTAACCTCTGAGTTCAGTCAAGCTCTGACATTCATGAATAAAGGTGTACATATATTCAAGCCTTGGCAGAATCCAGGTCTGCAGTTGCATACTTGCTACGACAAACATAACTACCTACTCAGTGTTTACACTGAGCTTATGCAAAGACCATGAATAGGGTCTCTGGGTGCCACTGAGACAGTAAAATTATCTGAAAACATTATACCATATACACTGTTCATTCAGAATCACCATATAAAAAATGCCAACTTGAGGAGGCCAAGGATGCCTCCTCAAATTAATCTTATTCATCAAGAAACTAAATCATGTATCAACCTTATCCCCAATTCCACGGAAGCAGGGAACAAAAAAGAATTGCAAAGCCGAGAGGGAGGGTGGGCAGCTATTCTGGGAAATAGTAAAAGGTAGAACAGGGGAATGTAAAGTTAGAAAGGAGATTGAATGTTCATGCCATGAAATGACTGCATAACACTAACCTTTAGAAATGCTGGAAGAAGTCTCCATTTTTCCTAAAACCAAAAAACAGTTTGAAGTGGCTTTCCAAAGAGAAAACAAACATTTAAGAATCTTGAGGTTTTTGTTTTGTTTTAAACAATAACAGTTTTAAAATCAGATCTTTTTAGAAAAAAAGACTGCCCAAAGCCAATCTCCTTGAGTAAAAACAAAACACGACTCAGAACACTTTAGCGAGCCATACATTCTACGCAATTTTTACTCTAAGCACAAAGGGACGCCATTTTTTCTAAAAACAGGTTATGTAAGAATGTGCATTTCCTGGAAAACTCCATAATACTATGCCCCAGTTTAAGAACACCAACCTTTTTGTCCTTTTAACGCTTTAGAGCATCTTTTGGGCAAAGGAAGCCTAGCTCCCATTTTGACTCTACAAAACACATGCAAAATCTCATTCTAAGGGGTGACGCAGGCAGACAGGGGTATCCGTACACCCTGTCAGCATCCCAACTCCTACAAAGATTTAGCCAAACTGCCTGAGCAAAATACTGGCAAGTAAACGCACAGAAAGGTTCCCACTGGCTTTAACCCACTTCTACCCTTCAGGGACCAGCAGCAGCATCGCTTGCCGGCCGAGAGAGGCCCCG